CCCGGACCCCCCCCTGCCTTGCGATGCTTGGTCCACCTCCGTGTGGTTTGCTTGGTCCTAACATATATTTGCTTATTTTTAAAAACGGATATATTCGGGCTGTTGCATTGGGTCTAAGTTAACAGACGATTCGCACAGAGAAAGGATCGTTCTCTCCATGTCGGCTTAGGCTTGCGTTTTGATGTCGACCATGCCCAACGCTTCCTCCACGTCATCAGCACATGCGGCAGACGCAGTTGCCCCCCCGGACGAAGCGCTTATGCAACCCCAGCACTGCAGCCCACAGCTTCGAAGCGTGCAGCGTGGAAGCGTGCAGCGTGGGCTTTGTGTGTTTTATATTATTTGCATCGACCGCTAACCTGCTGACCGATGAAAATACGTCAGTCTCAGCGCGACTGAAAGCACAAATACATGTATTTGTGTATTCTTGGGTTTGATACCTTTCGATTCTCGTCTGCTGCTGCGATGTGGTGCCATGGAACGATACGAAAGAGTAGATCACGTGTGAACGTCTACAACAGTAGTAGTCTGAATTTTTATGGGACAACAAGAAATTCTTGGCCATATATTGTCGAGGCACAACATACGTGGAGGCAAAACATACGTGGTACGGCATGGCTCCGCCCGCACTCAACGACGAAGTTGACCTTCACAATTCAGTATAATATTGGCAAATAATTCGTGAAATATTGGCAAATATTACCAAGCTTTCATCGGAAGCATTGTCATATTCGAGCATCGGGCAATGGGAACGAAATGGCTCTTGCCAAAGTCTTCCTCTCTTGCGAGGGTACGTAGTGCTACTATAGAATGTCGCCATTTCCTTTTTCCTGGACAGGGAAACATGAACACAATCTCCCTCCTTGTTTCTGAAAGCTTGAACAACCCATTGCCGTGTGTATCTTTCCGTTGCGCTATCATTAGGAGCGTACGCCAAACGAAGTCTTGGAGGACATGGCCTCCAAGTTCACCTTCCATTTCATTGGCGACAGTACCATCCGCAGACTCGGGGAGAGCTTCGTGTCAATATTCACAGGACAACAACCCATTGCCGTGTGTATCTTTCCGTTGCGCTATCATTAGGAGCGTACGCCAAACGAAGTCTTGGAGGACATGGCCTCCAAGTTCACCTTCCATTTCATTGGCGACAGTACCATCCGCAGACTCGGGGAGAGCTTCGTGTCAATATTCACAGGACAAGGATCAAAACACGACATGGTTCACAGCGACTTGGACTTCTCTACAGGGAACCTAGAGGTGCGCAAGTTGCTCCCATGAAGGTACAAGCAGCTAGAGATGACACGCTTTCATTCCGATCACCGTTGTAGCTATTGTTAGCTTGCCTGCGCACCGCCGTGGATTGCTGTCGTACCTCTTATTAACTGATTGGAGACTGTGGTTTTGAAGTCGGGCACCCTTCTCATGATGCGGTTGAAACTCACATATATTGCGTGGTATCTCCGACCTTTCTCCGACGCTGCCGAGCGCGTCTTCCGTGAAGCACTACGGGAAGAAGCTCCCGACCCCTCGGTGATGGAACCATTGAAACGTTAAAACGTCAAGACGCGCACAATATCTCTGTGGGTCACTCCCACACTTCCGACCGAACGTCTTCTGTAGAGCCCACAAGGCCGTACGTTAGGCAGGATATATGCAGCGCAGGCAACGAAATATATGAGTATTAAGAATGGTGGTGCAAGGCTGTTTCGCCTCTAAACTGCTATAGGCGTTTAGGCTATTATTACCTAGCCGAGGGTCGTTCAAGGCATATATTGTTTGTTCGACGATCACTTTCGGTTGGGCATTGCTGCACCATTTCCTTGGAGCAAACTGTGCCCGGCGAGCGTATGTCAGCGAGCGTTGTATATCCCGCCGCCTAGGGCGAGGTGATGAAACCGGACTATAGGGAAGATCCGAGTCGACACACGGGGCTGTCCTCGGTATCTTATACTGCACGACTCAGACATCGTCAAACCTAGGTTGACTAACGAAATGTCTGGCGCGTTTCCCGGACTTCCTAAAAACCCAGACTCGCTTTTACTGGGCACCCTTCTGTTTCGGGTCTGAGAGTGTTGGCGCGAAACTGGCGACCGTCATGGACGGAGTGAAAACTGCGAAGAGGGGCGACAAGCGCACAGTTATCATCACAGCATTTGGAGTCCACGACTCGTATGAGCTACCGCTGCTAGTCAAGGGGAGTGCGAGCACCTCGTACATGGACGCCCTCCCTCCAGACTTCGTTGACAATGGCAGTGTGAGGACCGCCACCCTTGGCGCTTGTCAGGCCACCACCGCCCAGCTTGTACAAGCAGCTGCTGCGAAGGTGATGGCATGGGCCGACCCGACCGCGGAGAAGGGGCAATGGTCGAAGGCGGTGCACGCCTCGCCGAACACTACCACCAGGAGTACGACGGAAACGAACGGGGTTTCGTTTTCATTCGGAGCGCCTGGGACAACAGCGGCAACGGACCCCACACCCCCGCTGGTCTTTCTCATGCAAAACAACAGATACCCTCCAAACTCTCCGGAAGATAACTACCTCGAAGAGCTCCGTCGAATACAGCGAGGAGAGGTTCAGGAGTGGGAGGCAGGCGAGGGCAATGAGGACGCTGAGGGAGGCATATATCTTGTGGACGACAGCGTTAGTCTCTTCCGCAACCTATCATGCTACCGCGAACGCAACCCCATCCACTTCCATGAGCCCGTGAAACTCGTGGAAGGAAAGATGCTTTGGGACCTGCTTGCACTCGTCGAGCGCGAGAGCGCATCGCCTCTCGTCCCCTGATCGGGTGGCGTGGGTTCCGATGGTGTCGGTGGTGCTGATCGCCGTTTGGTGATGTTTATTTTATTGTTGTGTGGATATGTCCTTGGGTTTTATGTTGCTGTTGTCATCTGATGAAACGCTTGGGCTCCTGCGTGCCGGCAACGACTGATAGAGGTGGACATTTGGTGTTGAGGCGTGGCCAGTTCATGTATGCGATACTTTCGAAGGAATATTGAGGGCGTAACTCGCCCGATCCTGTGCATGTGGAATTTAGACAAAAGTGTTTCGAAATAAATGCATTCACAATGGTGTGATGGATAGTAGACAAAGTACTGTATGTATCTGTAAATGAGTTCACATTGGTTTGAGCACACGTGCTCGTAGGTATCCGCGGACAATTTCCGCCGTCCACATCATCAGCGGATCTCTTGGTTGGCGCTCGTGGAAACGTTATTGGCGTCAGAAGGCAAAAACGTGTGAAGAAGGGTAGAAGCCCATGAGTTACGACGACAGTTGATTTGGTCGCGGTATCAAGGTTTAGGGCAAGATTTCTCAAGAGGACCTGGATTGTATGTGTGAAAAATATCTTTGATGTGTCCTCCGGCGCGACCGTATCGTGTTTGAGTCTTTACACATGGTTTTATAGTTGAAAATACCGGACAACAGGCATTCGTCAAATGCACCCCCGGAGCAAAAAAAATTGACAGGTGGTCAGTTGGTGTGTTTCCTACTGTTAATGTAGGCCGTCGCATGAATGTCAGAAACGTGTCGGGGACCTGGCACGACAATTATTCTTTCTACTGTAGTTTCATTCCGAAATCGAAGTAACTGAGTCTGTTTTGGTATCTATTACGGGTGAGGACAGGTTCCAACAAGACTGTTTTTGTGGCGTTTTGTTTTGGTTGGTCATTCTAGAGGCGCTTAACAACGATGCAGAGTCGGTGGATCGATGTATCATATCGATAGATCAATGAAGCGGTTGATTCCTCTGTGGAAGCGTCCGCCCCCAAAATGAACGTTGTTTAATACGAGTGAGTGACTCTTGTTTTCGCTTGGTCCTCGAAGAAGGTGTGAAGTCAACAGCGATAAACGTTGGGAGAATGGTTGCGTAGCCTGCAGCATGTCGACGTTTCGTCGAATCCATTATGGCAATTGGTTTCTCCGTCGCTGTCTTGCACGTTGTGTGTTGCGCGTCGTGAAGATTTTCTAAGATATGCATACATTGCAAGCAACGAGAGGGGCTGGACCAACGCCCTTTTCTCGGTTCAAACTGAAGGCATACGCAGAACGCAGAAGGAAAGACATCCGAAATATAGTAAGGCTCGGCATTTTTTCCACCTTCGGTGCATCTCCAGCTGGAGCGTTCAAACACGCATCGAAACATGCAGCCGGGTCCTGGACAGGACGGTACGCAACAACGCACGCGCATATACAAATCACAAACTACGTGCGTCGGGCACGTCAGTATGAATACTGTACGTTTGCCAGAGGGCTTCAACATATGCGTTGAGGTTCCAGAGCCAAGCGCGAAAAGATGTATGGGACTCCAAATCTCCTATGAGTGTCCATAGGACAACACCTGTTCACACCTGTTCCGACCTAGCGCGTAGAACAGTGATACCCTGCACCTGATGAAGTTGAATTCACTCACACACCAACCCAAGGGGCGTGAAAAACTCTTCGAGTCTCCGACTCTTCAACAGTCCATCTCGAGGTAAAGATTCTCGAATCGGAGCGCTGCGTAGAGAAGCAGAACGCCGCGCACAACAGTGGGAAGAGCATAGATACCTACAGCAAGTAGTACGTGAAACCGTCAGATGGGGGGGGGGGGCGGGGCTCATCTGTGGCCTGGACAATAGACAACCACACCCAAAGCAAGGGGCCATTCGACGACGAGCTTTTGACTGTCGCGGGCGACCGTACTAGCCGCTGCAATCGAAACCAGAACCTCTCCGGCCGCGCACGATTGCGGACCGGACAATAATCGCGCTCATTGCACGTGTCCCGAACACGCCGAAGTGGCTACACAGATTTGCCGGTGTTTGCATTCGAGCTCGGCTTGTCGCGGTTCAGGCCGAAGAATTCGTCGTATTCTCCGACTTTGAGATGCCTGGCATCTTCTCGGGCAAGGCTGCCAGCCGGCCTGCGCATCGGGGGCGAGAGAAAACGCCAGCACGGGAGGGAGGGTGCTGTCGTAGAGACAAAAAGTCGTTCCCCGCAGGCGATGTCATATTGTCGGCGATGTTACATAGTTGTGGTTGGTGTCGACCGGTCGTCATCGCGGGACGAAACGCAATATTTGGCAAGTGAGTACGTCACACTAGTTGCTGGGTACGGGGAAGAACGACAGAAACAGAGGCGGGACAAATCGTATTTCATTATTTCAACCGGAGCTGTGTACCAGACGGGAAGACGAAATTGGCGGCGTCCGAAATTCCCGACAAGATCTATCACCTGTTCAATCGGGAAGAATACATTTACTTCGCGTCCATCCACAGCTATCAACACCTTGCACCCGCTCGGAAGGACCTGCAACCCGTTGTGCCGACCAACAATATGCCAACCAACTCACCCGCCCTGGGCATTGAAGAGACTGGAGCCAGCGGAGCCTCCGCCACGTGCCTGCATTTTCCGCATTGCAAGGATCCGTGTCTCCACCGAGTCTGCCAGCACTAGCTTGGTCACCTGAACGGAAAAGGTTAGGGAATGCACCCACGCTTTGTCAGGGAAAAAATTCACAACAAATAGCACCCACGCGAGATATCTCTTTCTCTGTACCTTTGGTCTCGGCCTCACAATGATTCTCTACATAAACTGGTGTGCCAAAGGAGCTCAGAAAAGTATCATGAACCTCACCAACAGTTTCTGGGAGCATAGTACGACCAATAGGGCGACGATACATGCATGAATTCAACGAAGGTAGTCGCAAGTTTGAAAAATGAAAAACTCATTTTTCACTCTTCGTGTTTTATGAATTGGGGATTCATTCAATCTTGGTCTTCGGGAGGCAAATGTCCCGTGGGCGACAGAAGATAGCGCAAAACCTGGACCGATAGTCAAAGCTCGATTTCTCCACGGCACTAAGAACGGCAATGCCCATAAAAGTGGCGTTGAAACCGCCTGGGCGAGAGTTTTCCGACAGGGTATCGTGTGTATCGTGTTATGCATGCACCCTCTTCATCGTGGCATGTGACAGCTTTGAAATCGATCCAGGGGGTGTGAAAGCTTGTGTCACTTACGGAATGCGGCTTACACCTACCGTGACGGGGCGGGTCTGTCCCAGGCGGTGCACCCTGCCGATCGCCTGTTTCTCCAGGGCCAGGTTGAGCATCTGCGTTAGCAAAAGTAGTAGAGGCAGCTCCGAATATTAATATTCACTTGAGAAAGTAATATTTTCAATGATGCATATTCTTCCGTTGGTTGCTGGACCACGCACAGCTTTGACATAACGGGCAAACATGTGAACCCTTGGAAGAACCCAGGATCAACAAAAAAACAACGTGCATTCTTCCAAGCGGCATGCATGCCCTACACCCCGACCGTTTACGAGGTGTCGTTTCGTTCGGTCTTCGCCTAGCCTACGAAGAGCAATCGGAAAACGGGCAAGAACAGATCGGATGGAGTGAATTCCACGAAGAAAAAAGTGAGAAAGCGCTTCGCCGCCCATTCCTCTCTGGTAAAATATATGATTCACTCCGCGTACCCGCGGCTATCATATGATAGAGAAAAAGAGGGGCGTTTTGCGGTGCTCTGTCTGTTCGCTTGTAAACATACGGACAAACCTCAGACTACAATAATAGCGGAGTCACTTCTAGGACCAACATAGCAGCAAGCCTAGAGACCGAAGAAAACCAAGAAACCAAGAGCCGAACATTACAATTGCACGCCCCCGCTGGACGTCAAGATCGAACAGCATACTACTGACCCCCGCTGGACGTCAAGATGGAACAGTATATTCAACTTAGCCAACCGGGCGAACGCAACCGGGGAAAGGGCGAGAACAACCCATTCGAACGAAGAACCCGAGAGCATCCATCGAGGCCAATCGCGGACGAACAAGCCGGCAGAAGAAGCTTTAATTTCACAGCAACCTCTGCCATGCGGTGAAGTAACGTGTGGCTTGATGAGATGGGTGATGCAAGTGATCGCTCGTTCGAGCAAGAGATATCCGAGTGTCCTTCGCTCACCGGTTCGAGCAGGAAGACGTGGTTGGCCTGCGTGAGGTTGATCCCCACGGCCCCAGCACGAACCGACAGCAGAAAAACCGTCGTTGGGGGGTCGTTCGCGAACGCCTTTGTTTTCGAGAAAATCAAAACATGAAATGAACACGAAATGGACTAGGTTGACGTCGGTTAGGGGAGTGAGGCGTAAGAGTGCGTCGACTTGGAAAAAGAGATCAGGGGCAGCAACAGTCGAGAGGTTCGACCCGACAGCAGGTCTGCCGATATTTTCGAGATCAAGCTGTTCGAGTCGGCGTGTGAGTCAATCCACAGGGCTGCCCTCGACATATAGTCCTTGCGTGTAGCGTGGTATCGAGCATGGAACCGGGATAACGTGTGATAACGTGTGCAGCAGTAGCGCGTTCCGGAGGAAAAACTGCAGCACGAAATAATTGTCGTTTGCGCTTGAACAGTTGTGGTTTCGTGAAGAGAATCGGTGCGCTGCTTCCTCGTCATGCTGCACGTGAGTGTGCGGAACTGGAAGCCGCGCTTGGGCAGGGCGTGCTTGAGCCACTCCAGGGAGGAATTGTACTGCGAGAACACCAGGCTCTTGAAGTGGGATCCTACCGGAGAAGGGGTACAATTTAGACAAGGCGGTGCTTGAATGAACCGTATAACGCCAATAGGTATCTAATGCTAGTCTTGACTTCACGAGGGGTTGGCCCAATCGTGTAAAATAAGTATTGCCACTTGATGCACGAACGAAAGTGTCGCTGAGAGTTGGGAACAGAACGTTGAAGTTGATCCCGCCATGTGTTTGCCTACGGAACCATCGACCAAAGCTACCACCAACGGTATCAACAACAACAACAACGACAACAACAAACATTGGCTTGGATGTCGGCCAGCTTTTCCACCAGCGCCTTGAGCTTCGTCTCCATCATCACGCCCGGCCCTGAGGCACCGAAAGCGCACGTATGTACCCGGGAGGAAAGTGAGGGGGGGTTAGTCACGTGATTGTGTATCCTTCCAGCGGTCTTTTTCGTCATAGTTGGTGCTGTCACTGGTGGACATTGTCTCGCTCCGGTGCGGTTCCCGCTGCCATTCGTGTGTAAGATGTCATCGTCTTTGGTGTCGCGCGAGCAGTTCCCGTTGCTCCCGCTTCCTGACGATATGTTGCACAAGGGACGATATGCCCTCTCATCAACCGATAACCCTACGAGCGATTGCAACAGGTAACATCCAACGCCATCTAGGCCCTCTCGTCCCTCTCGAAAACGTAAAACGCACGAATAAGAACAAATAAGCACGTTCTTACTGTTGTCGCTGCCGTTTCCGCCCGCCGACGACCCGAAGTCGCCACCACCGCCACCGATGGGAGTGAGGTCGCCAAGCGTCACCGTCTTCTTGCACTTGGGACACGGCCCCTCGTCATCGTCGTCGCCCTTCGCCAACGCTCCAGCGATACACGCCTGGAAGACAGTCGAGTGGGAGGTGAGCGGTGGAGGAGGCGCTCATAGTTTTGCACCGCCCGGCCTCTCGGCTAAGGTGGAGTTTGGTACCGTTCGCTTGTTGGTCGGAGCTCCCTCAGGCACATATCCTCTGAATGGATCTAGTATGGCCGATCTACATGCCGTATTTTCGATACGTCTTTGACAAATTTAACACACGTTAGCACCTCGAACCTCGGCTGGAAAGTCACGTGCTCTCAGGCGTGCACCTGGTTGTAGTAGGGCTTTGCGCATGATATCGAAACTTTCGCTCCACATGTATTCGCCTCCCAACAGCCCGGCCGCAGTACTACTGAACCAATCTGGCGGAAAATGAGCAAGACCTTGAACTAGCGGCCAGATTTCTTCAAAGCATAGACTAGTGCTCTTGTCAGCAAATACCTACGGTTAGGTTCGGTAATTTGACCGCATTCCCGGGGAAGTTCCTTCCCGTGGTTAGTGTCACGTGGTAGAACGCTTTCCTCAGGCTCGCCGATGCCAAATACATACTTCGAGGACCACAAGGGCGGAGGGTACCCGGCAAACTACGAGTACCGTAAGAACCGGAAGATATCACCCCCCCCCCACTAGCTATACAGTAGACTGAATTTCAAATCTCGATTGCTTCACAACCAAGTGGGTGCGGAAGGAGCCCGAAAGATCTACGGAGAACCCTCGGCGGGACGTTTCCAAAACCACCATCTTTGGTGTTGGCCCCGAGCGTAATCCATCGAGCTTTGAAAATCAGTCTAGGAGGGTACGATATCTCCGCCTCCTCGCGGTGGTCACGTCCGCCGTGTGCAATGCTACCGGAAGCCCTGGAGCCCACTCCCAAGCCACAGCTGTTTGTATACATTGCCAAGGTTGTTACATTGCTGCAACAAAGGAGTAAAGACAATGGCTATAGTAGCTATTCGGAGATCTACTACGACTTCCCGGAAGCCTACACGGGCTATACTAATCACCGAACCTGGCAGAAGGCGTGACCGCACTCCGTCTTCACAGGGGAGTCCAAGAGCTCGTGGCATACCGAGCAGAACGCGTCCAAGGAGTCGGCGAGCTTTTTACCCCGATCATCGCTCTCACTGCCGTCCACTTCTTCGCCTTCCGTGTCTAACTATTCGCGTTTTTCCCAGCCACCCTCTGTCGGTGTTTTGGCAGGCTCGTAGAGGAGTAGTTGGCCGCCAGAGCACGCCTGCAGCAAAGAAAACGCGCGAACACACCCGGGGGGAAGAGGCAGAGACAGGGACAGATATTGCAAGGAGAAAATTGAGGTAGCAGGGACACACACGTTACTCGTGTCACCCCGAGATAAAACGCCAAAATCGTGGGAAGTAGGTGTTCAATTCGCTCTTCGCAACATTAGTGCTCAAGTTCAAGCTGAGTCCGCCGGCGACATGCAGCATGAAGTCCAGGCACAGGTCCTTTTCACGGTGTCTTTTTTGTCCTGATCGAATTGTTTCAGGCAAAAAAAGTGTGGATCCTGGCGGTCTGGTCGGTGAAAACGTGCCTAATGAGGCCTAACCCCTTGTTGCAGGGGCAAGCGAGCAGGAAGAGTGCGGGGAGATGCCGAGAGCTCCGAGGCACGACCGCGCCGGCCGAACATGGACCATAGGATCGCCGGCTGTTGTTGTTCGACTTCGCATTTACCCGACGGACCACAGTGGCATGAACGTCAGGAGAGAAGGGATTACAATAGGAGGTCAACAAGAGACACACCAGCCGGACTACACCGCACAGGGGACGGAAAAGCAGGGAAATGGTGGGGGGGGAGGGGGGGCTTGCGGAGGCGGGGCGGAGTGACCCATCTAGAAGACGTTGCGTTCTCAGTGGCGGGTCTCAAACCCCCCGCGACCTACCGCTGATACATTCAATCACGCTGGCGTACCGTTACAAACGTTGTCACACCTGCCGGAACTTGCTGAGAAGAGTGAGTACTGCCATGGTGTGAGAGCCCCGCACGTTCAAGACCCGCCAGCGCACCGCCCTGTATTATTTCTGGATGGTGTTCTCGAAGTCGTGGTAGGCCTCGAGCTCCTTCGGCGGCGGGGTCAGAACCTCCACCTGTGCCCTCAAAAACAGTAACGACGTGCACGAACACGCGCGTCAAAACGCGTTTGTCGGCTGGGTCATGTTTGGAATGAAAGGACAAACCGACACGTTTGCTTCCACGCATAATCTCGTCGAAGCGAGCACATTTTGGTACTCGCGTTCAACTCGAGGACAACAACTGGTGTTTCGATTCGTACGAAGGAGCCAAGTTCTTTCTTCTCCGGTGTGGATAATATTTTCCCGCCTTGGGGCTAGTACATGTCTACGCCAATTGTAGCCATCGTGTGCTTGTGTACAGGGATTTCCCGTGTGGAATGAGGAACTTTGAAAGCTGGAACGGGGCATCAAACACCGAAGCAATTCAAAAAGGGTTTGGGGTGACACGTCCCCGACAATGGATGGACACGGCAGAAATACCGTAACATTTCTTGGATCGGGAGATGTAACCGAGTAGAGAGAGACGCCCGAAGCAATGGATCAGTACCGGCAGGCGCCACGCAGTTCGCTGATTGGTCAGCGCACCTGCGGCAGAATTTCCAAAACCCCAAAAAAAACTTTGTCGACGGGTTTCGAACATGGACATAACAAAATATCACCTACATGAACGTGTTTCGCTTTGCGGATTGAGGGTAGCGGTGGCAACCGCACGAACTGCGTTCTCATGGTCCACCCAATTTTGCAACTTCTCGCCATTTTTCTGGGAAAAGAAGGCTTGTAGGCCCGGTTCCCTTGTGTGGCAGGTGCTCAGAGAAAATTGTTCTTGAGTTTTTCCGGCCACGCCTCCTAATAAAATTATCCCCGTCATGTACAAGCCTTACGGGTACCTTGTGTGTGATGGTCGGTAGACCGAGGAGACTGTTGGCACCCAGCTTCATGCCCTGGGAGTGGCGCAGGACCACGCGGCGCAAAAACGCCGTCACCTCTACCTGCGTGTCTGTGTTCGGCCTGACGAAATAGGAAACAGGGGGCGCGGACACACCCCGCCGTTCAACCTCTGATCTGCCCCGGGTCCACAGATCGACCAAACTAGGATTCATACAGATACAATCGAGCATGTATTTTCCCTGGAGAGTGGCACGTGTTCCGGGTGAACCGACGAACATCCCGCGAGAAAAGAACCTTTTCGAAGGACATGGTCGGAGTTCCGTTGAAAGGAGACAGCTTGGGGGGGGAGGTTACCTCGGGATGAACTTGTCCTTGACGCCTTGAAGGAGAGATTCTGGCAGACAGAGCTGCCAGACAGAAAAAACGCGTTTGCCTGTGGCCCAAACGTCAAACCTTCTCAACCAAAAAAATGATAAACGGCTACAGAACGCGGGGCAGCACAGCAAAGGTCCAAACTTTGGTAGGTCGTTACGTCAGACCTCTTGTCTCCAAGGTCTCGGTCCCGGAACGACCCCGCCACGCCCACAAACGACAGCTGTCTGTTGAGGTCGGAGAACTTGGAAGTGAAAGGGGTCCTGTTGTTGTTGTCGTTGGCATGGTGCGGCAAGATACGGGGGGCGGGAATAGCATCGGGCGTTTCGCCGGTTCTTGCTGTTCGGCAAAGCTTCGTTCACAATTTCTTGGGATATATCTGCAGAATGGTCCCCGCAGATTTCCCCAGAAGTCGCGGAAAACAGTGAAGGAAAGAGAAGGTTGTCGAACGTGGTGCATCCACGACGAAAATAACGAGGTATCCGATGCCAACCGATGAACTGTGACTACGACTGCGGAAAATTATTGAAGGAAAGTCGCACACCCGTTCGTTTGCGCGTAGATTGGAAGCATGGGGGGGGCGGGGCGGGGGGGTGGTACCTACGGGCTGCCATCGTTGCTAGCATTCCACGCTATGCTGTATCCTAGTGATCCTGGTCATCAAAAAGTCTCGAAACGATATCTATCGTAAGGTACGTATGTAGAGGTTTCCTCGGTGAACGCTGTCCCCGCATCAACGTGGCGCATTCCCATTGTCCGACCACTGGACCGTTTCAACGAGTACCCAGCCTGATGATGTGTTCAAGGGGACCTGCGGTTTATGTTGCTGAGTCTGAAATAGGGTTTAGAAAGCGTTTGGTGTGCGTAATCCATGTAACTGGTAGCCTCTAAGCATCAGACGCGCGCATCGACCTCATTATGTATTGTTCTTCACATGCACCTCATGCCGGATACACACGGCGCGTATGCGAGTAAATCATCGAGCGCGTCAAGGCTAGCAATTTAATGTCATACGCCCAACGTGGACTTGGTGAACAAAACGTGTGGTAGACCGTCAGTGGGTTCACAAGCAGATGTTCAGTTTCAGAAACAGGTGTGTTGACGTGGGGTCGTCGTCGTCGCTAACTGTTGTTGTCATTGTTGTGGTTGTTGTCGTTGATGTTGTTGTCGTCTAAGTTGTTGTCCGTTGTTGTTGTTGTTGGTGGTGGTGGTGGTGGTGGTGGTAGTGGTAGTGGTAGTGGTTGTGGTGTGGTTGTTGTATGGCGTTGACGACTGGTCTGGACTCTACCCTAGCAATCTTCCGTCCACATAATGGCGAACAGTCGAGTTCCCCTCGATCACGATATATCTCGTCGTCAGCGCACAAGTGAAGCAAAATACAGATCGGAAAGCTGCACATTACTTGCGAAATTTGATTCGGTCGATCGTCCAGTATCTGTACCGCAAAAAATGAAAAATCGAATTGCCTGCACGTACCCGGTCATGCACCAGCGGCGGTTAGCAACCAGCTCCCGGACGGCGTTCGAGCTTCCTGACCCGTGATTGAGGCTGTGACTCTCATCCAGAACCTGAAGGTTGATAAACGTGACGACCCAGTTCGGTAGAAGACGCTGACGCTAGCTCAAAGAAGTACGTTGACCGCATCGCGTAACCACCTAACGTAGTCTAGCCCCGGTTCGGTGACATTTTCGGGGCATGAGCTGTTCATCACACAGGTGACGTCTAGGTGGCCGCGTTCACGCATGCCTACGCATGTTTCACGCTAGTGTTGGCTTTGAACAATTGTCGGTTGAACGCACTTACGTCTTGTAGCACGTTGGATCAGCTTGTGAAAGCAGGAACTGACATTTTCTCCTCGAACCATAAGGAAGGACATGCACTGGAAAGAGGTCACAACGAACGATGATGCGACGACGTTGACAACATCGACAACAACAACAACAACAACAACAACAACAACAACAACAACAACAACAACAACAACAACAACAACAACAACAACAACAACAACAACAACAACAGAGTCAACCTGAAGTCGTGCATGTCCTCAGTCTCCCGCTCCTTCCCGGTGGCACTCTTTTCCGCTTTCCCTTTTCTACACCTGATAGACCCCACACACACCTCAAACGCGTGTGCGTGTGCGGACAAGGGAATGTTTCGTGACTTCCGTGGCTCGAATCATACTGGGGGGCAGGAATAAAGAACTGAAACAGCCCTCACCACACGCCACCAGCGAATCTTCCGTAGAGGTGGGTACCCTTTGTTCCTCGTCGCGTCCATCTTAAGCAAGTGGCACGTGCCAGGTAGAATAACGAGAACAGTCAAACGTCGGCGGGGTGCTTCGGTGTGGAGTGAAAGGTGCGACCGGGCGGACCTCGATTGGACTAGTGCATTGCGAGGGGGTAAGCCTCGACGACTACAGGAGGTCCAGCTTCTTCGGTTAGCCAGATGCATCCGATCCCAGCGGGGGGAGCCGAGTATGTGGAGCGAAGACCATGTCTTCCTGCAACGTTGTTGATACCTTCCACATTCGACCACGTGCCTACCAAAATATGGTGTGAGGGTCTAGTCTAGACGGGGCGAAATGCCGTGGTAGACGCATGTAGAACTTGTCACCCAAAAGTGTCAAAAGGACTAAAGGGCCACAAGAACAACAGCTCCTACGCGCTCTGGGTACGACACCGCACATGCCGAACAACAGCTCTAGGAGGGAAAGCGATCGGCAGAGGGAAAAAAGGGGGAGCTGTGATCTTGAATATGACCGAAGCGTATGGCGTCCACGCCCTCGTCTCTTCTGCTCTATTCGGAAAGAGGAGGTTGGCTCTGCACCAGTATTACTCGGAGCGCGGGGGGTGAGGCCGGAAAATGTCGGCGACGGTTGCGCGGAGTGCGTCCCTCGGTGTTGGAGGAGGGTGCTTCAAGTGCAGACAGTCACGTGCAGCAGTCAGTCTCTCGATGGTGCTTGGCAGTCATGGTGCAGCCCTTCTACTCTGGCACTACATAGGACAGGGGGAAGGAAACGCAAGTACGTGTTGTTACGACGGACGACCGCACTCCCACCATGAAACCGTTCTCCTCAGACACAACGTGCCTAGACATTGACCATTTACATGAATATCTCGATACTTTGAAACAGTTCCACAGAGCCGAAGACGCCAAGACGAACGATGGACAACAAAAGTCACCTGGACTATCCCGTAGGTGGTGACCACCATGTCGAACTTTGCGAGGAAGGCCGGGTCCTTCTTACGGTGGTACCCGCCGTGGTAGGCGTAGATCGACAGCGCGCTGCCGCACAGACGCTTGGCCTCCTGCGCCGAGCGTGCAAGCATAGGGTTTCCCACACGAACGAGCGTGGACAGATGTCTCCTAAGCTTTCGCAACCGTAGCATGCCGTACAAGGACATTTTTGTGGAACTGGACAGGCTCAAGATGCTCTAGGCACGCGAATCTTCTTGTTTCGGTGAAACAAGGGCGCTTGAACTAGACCGGAGGCGTAGTCTACATAGTGCTCCTCCGCGTAGTCTACATAGTGCTCTTCAATGGGTGGGTGGAATCGGCGTCCTTCGAAGAAGGCCCTGAAGGGACCAGTTTCAAAAGCGGGTTTCAGAAATAATGTCAGAGACTTGTAACTGATGGTAGAGTATGTGGGGGTTCTTCCTACTGCCCTCAGAAAATCGAGGCCTGTTCAGTTGCTAGAGAAACGAGGTACGCCTGTTCAATTTCTAGCAGTCGCTATCACCCCAGTCTGTCGGACAACCGGCCCTCGATCTTTCGCAGACCATCAACTTCATCAGAGCGAAAACGTGATCCCCGAGGTCAAAGGATTTCATTAGAATGCAACAATAGGTACAATATTGCTATCCCAACTGTACCGGAGCGGTTGGATGGTGAAACGACTTTTTACATACCACGACGACTACAACTACACCAACAACAACAACATCGAACAACAGCGGCACAACGGCAACGACGGCGACAAACCTGAGGGAAACACTGCATACATACCTCTACCCACTGCCCGACGAGCGACACTTTGCACACCACCAGGGTTCCCGTGGACACCACCTTTCCTGGAGCTTTCGTACCCCCCGAGGTAGACTTTGGGGCGACCATCGGGGTGGCCTTTACATGTCGACATCGGGGTCATCGGCATGCAACGGGACATCAAAGGACCCCCCAAGGGTGTGAAACCAGGACACGGAGCAACTGCAAGAGAAAGCCGCCCTTGACTTCGTACCTAGTTGCTTCCCCAAAGTAGAATTATTTATTTGCGGGTCACCACTTAAGGCATTTCAAACTTGGGTGCTGCCCTCCCTCTTTGCTTTACGGTTGAACATCGACTTCAGGTCGTTTTGCAGTGCGACAAAGTTTGTCCCCGATCAACTCGAGCCACGAAACCCCCTAGACAGCCACGATGATGGATGCGGTTGGGGTAACCGACCGTATTCCTGGAATTCAATGTTAGTTTCGTCCTCCGCCGCATGGCTCTAACGGGGTAGGTAGGTGCACGAATGTAGCGAGGAGGTCCAAGTGCTCGAGGGGAAACATGGAGAATCCCGCAAATATCACACGCGCATCTGAAGTAGTCGCCGACAACATCCACGCCAGCCGAGTTTGACTTGTTTTTCCCGGGTTGTTCAAGGGCGTCATGTGTCTGCCGCTAGAGCAATTTCCGAAGTGCATACTACTGCATGTCGCAGATTAGTTTATTGTCGTCCTTGTTGGGAACCGGTACATACACTCTCCCTTTTCTGTGCCACTTCCCAATTTCTAAGAGAACAGGTAGCCGAGTTTTGCCAGGACAAGTGCTGAGAACGTCAAGCCAACACTTCCAATTCTACCCCAGCCCATCTCGAAGCCGCACCTGTTTGCCGGTGATGGGTCCCCACTCCTTCTCGTCGAGCGGAACTCCCGGGGATGGGGTTTGGGGTGGATGTATCAGATGGAGGGCCAGCGTGGCGGCAGTCTTGCCGAGTCCCATCTCATCGCACAGGAGGCCACCCTAAACAGAAGCCAACATGTACAGAGTTGATAGGCAGGCAAGGACAAGTTGATTTTCTCGGCATGTGTGTGCAGCACAAACCCTGGATTCGCTCCCGTCGTGTAGGCAAACTCGATATTCGGGAGACGAATGACACAACACGGCACGAAGTTGGTTATCCTTGAAGGTTCATAGTGATATACGGTAAGCAAACGGGCCGTTCCTTCTCGGCCGCAAGGGGGGACAGCCTTGCACGACCAAATGCAGAGTTTACCGAAGGGATCGTGCGCCAAAGGAAGGGTACAATTCTACATAAACAATACACGATGTTGACACGACGAAGTCTCTGGGCCATACGGCCAAGAGCAAGAATCGTATGCAAGCCCTCAGGTACTCGTTAGATAGTCTCCAGGCCTTCGCCAGTGCGAAATCGTCTGCGATACGACGACACCATGGACATCTCTTCGTTTGGCCGCCGATCGACCCGACACAGCAGTTGCGCCAAAGTGACCAACGTACGCCCGAGCGCTTGAGAGAACCAAGGAACGAGCGACGAGCGCTTGGCGGCCAAAATATATGACAGCTCTAGACAGTTCAAGACCGGAACCGGCGTTTTTTTCGTCTTCTCTTAGCCAAATGGTCGGCATGAAAACCTGTTTGTGAGAGGCGCAGCCGAGAGCCGATATGGCAACGGGGGGACGGCACAGATCTCTCACTTTTGTCCCGGCTTTGAAGGGGTTCTTGACGGTGAACTGGTTCAGGGCGGGAGAGTACCAGCAGCGGCGAAACTCGCAAGAGCGGTCGTGGTTCTGATCAGATGATTGGACAGTTGAGAGCAAGCGGTGGGCGACAAACCACACCATCGGGCTTCAGGGCGGCCGACGTGTAGCGCGGTGTTCTAGTTGAATATTCGCTTCCTGGAGTACATCTCACGATGCAAAGTTCCAGCCTGACCGCCGAACTCGGACGGTGGAGTGAAAGAGAAAAAAATAGAAACTGTGCAGCGAACCTGATAATCCATTCGACCTTACTCCAAGGAGACTTCGTCTTCAAATGGCCACTTTGTGTTACGAACCTCTAGACCAGTTATCCGGCGAAGAACCTCAAATATATATATATCGATTTTTGGCGCTATCCGCAGTGGACACCTCGCGAGACGCCCTAATCGCCAAGTGATTTGTTTGGCGTCTTGCGAGTAGGGCAGCAACTCCCTAAGGTTGGTCGCAGCGTCTGGCCCCCAACTTACCGCTGGCATTTGAGGGTGGGGGGGCAACTCCACCCAGAGGTGCTGCATTGCGCCCCCTTCCAGCACTTCCTGGTCATACATCCACTGGGTGGCTTGCAGCTGGTGCTCGAACAACTGCACCGTCAGACACTGTCACAAGCGGCAGAATGAACACCAGCGCGAGTCAGAGAATCAGCCGTGACGTAAAGTCGCTGAAAAGATTATCGGGCGATACGGGAGTTCGGACTACACGCGGGGAAGAGAGAGAAATGTCCATCTCCAATTTCTAAAGTATTTCGAGACCCCAGAACAGCGGTGGCGGGAATGACTTACGTCCGGCTGTTTGATCAGGGCCCCGTGTTGCACGTTCTCCAGCACCTTGAGCAGCTGGAGGAAGCAAGACGTCGACAAAGCGAGGCCGAAAGCACCGGTCAGCAAGGCCACGTGATTGTTTCAACAACGCGCAACAAGTTTTGAGCCGGCAGGTCAGCAGGGTCGTGAACATGGCGTTGCGAAAATCTCCCCCCGAGTCATGAACAAGTGTGCGGGGCATTGCTGTCGTTGGCGTGCCCGAATCGCTGGGCGGGGAAGAAAAACAAACGAAAATATACTCCGAGCATGGCCTAACTTAGGCTGTTCTGGTCAAAACCAACGTCACGAACAATGACTCGATCACCTCAGTTGGATTGTGGACCAGCTTGGAGACAATGCTCGGGCTTCTCTCCTCCGCGCGAACGCTGTTAATCAGTCCTTCAAGGGTGACATCTGTCGACGACTGCCCACCGTATCCCTGGTGTGATATATAGTTGCAGGAAACAGATCATTCCCGAGGCTAGTGTGAACAGAACTACGGGTGATCATGTTTCGGACTTTCGCTCTGATCGCCCAGACCAACCACCTGAGGAGCGTAGAACTGCCTTTCGAGACATCAAAATTGGAAGTACAATGCAACAGCATTCGAGTCAAGAAAAATGAAACAGAAAACGAAGCCTCTCATTAATGACACACGAAAATACGAATCGCTCGCATGGGGGGGGGCAGACACAGACCCGACAACTTCTCCCAGCCTAAACCTCAAGACTGCACCCGTCTCCGCTGTACTTTGACATCAGACTCACGAGGTGCGCCGGTTTTGACGGCCGGAATTTCCGCCCGGGTCCGCCGACCACCGCACCGCCGCTGGCAGCCACCCCGACACCAAGCTCGCTGGCGTCGGCGCCTCCGCCAACCGTCCCGGAACTTCCGCCATCGCCGCCGGAGTTGGAAGCAGCGCCGAAGGTGTTGACGAAGGGCTGGCTCGTAGGGGCGGTGGGCGTCGCGGGCTGCGGCGGAAAGTCATACTCTCCTTCCTCTTCTTCGTCGTCGGAACCGAGTTCGGTTATCGCGCGCTGTTTCCCCTTGTTCTTCTTGGTGACGGCGTTGGCGCCGGAGGGCGCAGGGGGGATGGAGGAGGAGGAGGACGTGGGGGGAAGAGCCGGGGGCGACCCGCAGGGCGAAGGGGAGGTGGAGGAGGAAGGAGTACGGGGAAGAGAGGGGGAGGGGGAGAGGTAGGACGCCGAGGACGAAAGAGGAGAACAGGCGGAGGAGGCACTGTCGGCCTCGGCGTTCTGGTTCACTGCAGTGTGCAGTACGAGTCTCTCCACAACAGGCATGAAGTCCACCAACCGGTGGTTTTTCTCGGGGGTGTAGCTCTTGCCGACTCGCTCCTCTAGACTATACCCCCGGGAAAGAAGCTGCGTGCGGGTCAAGAGGCGGGGGCGTAACGAGGTGCACGAGAGGATTCGGTAGATTGTTCCCAGTCTCCGGTGTGGTCCTTTTTCATTTCCTTCTACAGTACTTACAGGGGCGAATAGGAACCCAAAGATGGGCTACTGGGCCAAGCGAGTTGACAACTCGCCGCGTTCCACACCCGTACAAGGTGCTGAGAGGAGAGAACCGATCACGTAGGGAGAGGAGCGCACCCATATTGTTCAATACAAAGGGCCGACCGGAAGGCTCGGTGCATGTATGTTGGTGTCCGTATCCCGCGGTACCGGTCTCGACACGCCTGGTACAGGACATCAGGCGGAAGTCACCTTCGTGATGAGGACGACCTCGACGGTGAAAAAGCCCTTAGTGAAGCTAGGGTCGCACTCTGCCCGCATTTCTACGTCGATCAGGGATTCCTTGTACGCGTTCTTGAGCACCTGCAAGAGCTGAAATGACAGGACCGGCAAGTTCGGACCGGACGGAAAGGTTGGCACCGTGATCCAAAGCTGTGGGATTGACGCACGGTGCGAAAGAGGCTCTGCCAATGTTTCTGCTGGTCGTCAAGGGTTGTTTAGGACGAAAAGGGAGTCAATCAAGAATCCCAGGTCTTCGTGGTGAGTTAAGAGGGTCAAGGTCCGATCGCAAACGTGGGTGTGCTGTGGCGATGCTCGTGGGTCCACCATATTCATTCCTGTGGAACGTATTCCACGCCGGTAAACATCAGAGCGACGTCGATTGGTGGGTTTGATACCTGGGTGTCTTCTGGCTGTTCCAGTTGGAGAGCACCGTGCTTCTGAAGTACGTCTTCCCAGATGGTCACAGGCAGTGGGGTCCGCGAAACGAAAGTCTCGAAATGCGCCTGAAGGCAGGTGCACGTGAGATGACGGAGGAGTGCCGATCGAGAACAACGTTCGGCCAAACATTGTTCTCGAGATGACGTGCGTGCGACAAGATGGCATGTTACGCACCACCCAGCAGCAAGTGCATATGAATTTCCATGCGAGGAGGGCAGGTGGTTTTGAATCGTCATGTTACGTGCCCGTTCTCGAAGTCCGAAGTATCCCGTAATGATGGAGAGCACGCGATTCAGCGAAGATTATCTCACCACGCATGACATCCTTAACTTATGTGCTGAAGTCTTTCAACTGAGGATTAGGGATAGGGACATGCATACAGAAATATTGTTGTCCCTGCACTGAAGGTTGGCTAAAAAGGGACTTCAACAAGACCGCAATCGTTCACTTGGCCTGTGGTCTGCCTGCCTACTTGCTTGCGTCACCTTGCGCTTGTCGAGAGACAGCGGCTCGGGTGTTGTGATAGTGAATACGAGGTCGCTCACGACACCGAGAAGAACGCTTCTAGGCTTCGATGACCCCGACTGCCAAAGGTGAGTGACGATTAGACGGACGTATTTCGGCATCGCTTTTGTTGGCGTTGTTGGCGCTACATTTGACTGTACGGTGGCGGTTTCGTTGGTGTCGTCTTGGCCCTGAATGCTACCTTCAATCGCGTGATCCAGACTGGAAACGATGCACTTTTCGCATGACCCGTGCACCTAAATCATCTGCAGGACAGGTTCTACTAATACTACCTTTGAAAGAACAAGAGATTCCAGTTGCTGGGCATAACGAGTGAATTTGATAGAGCTGCTGCGGGCTTTGATGAAAAAATGCGCTTCTGTTTGCCTCGATCTCCGTCCGATGTGGTGACCCGATTGTCGGAGAGACACAGGCGTTTGAAAAAAGACGGCTGCAACACGACGAGCGGGACTAGGCACAATATTTGTTCGGTTGATGCATCCGGATTTCGGTGTGTGCGTTTTTACACAGAGTTTTTCCGCGAACCCGGCCCCCCTGCAGATGTCGGGCACCGAACCCCACCACAACGCTGATTCTAGCGCCAAGGCGTACGAGGGTGAACCATGTCGTTGTACGGCGAGTGAAGGCAGTTGAGTTTGCACCAGGCTGGGGAGAAAATGTTAATCCTTCCAAAAACATCAGGTATACTCACAGTCCACTTTGAAGCCCAGGGTGTAGGAAGTGAGGCTTCTTGGCGGTTGAACCTGCTCGCGATGGCCATGTCAACCTTCCCCCCGTCCTCTTGTGTCTGTCGGAAAGAGAGACGACGAAGAACATAGGATATCGAAATTGAACATGCAGCCCATCGTCGGCAAGCACTTCGTGGTGGCGACGGGCCGCTTGGCATTCACTGGAAATTAGTATAAAGGGAATGGCACGCCTTGCGAAAGCAAACTACATAGATGCAGGAGGATCGCTCATACTGGATGGTGATCGCGATGGCATTGGTTGAACAAACGCCATAATACAGCTCGACCCACGTTGGCAAGGTCTGGTGTTGCTATGTATTCCCTGCCGATAATAATCCTTCCGATTTTCACTAAACACGAAAACGATCTAGTTGGTTCAGAACCGGATTGGCTACTTCCGATGACAAAGTGGGAGTGACCTACACGACATTGAAGCATGAACAAGTGTCCAAGCATCAGTCCAGCCATCACGGAACAAGCAACATTTCCGCGACGGGAACCAAATGATATTGCGTTTGTCACGGTGGGGACAGTCTTCATGAACTACGCTCTGATAACCCTGCTGGACACATGCGACCCTTACTGCGGGTCCTTCGATCGCGCCTCCTGATAAAACAAAATATGTTTACATCATCATAATGTCTATTCCTGGTCCTGATACAGGTTCGGGAAGAGACTACTCTCATGAGACTGCACTTCCATTTGAGAACCCGCCGGCAAAACAAATAAGGGCTTCAGTTGAGACCGGGGCTACGCCCCGAGCTAATGTTTAATGGAAAATCACCTTCCGAATGTGGGGCCTGTGTCGTTCTTTGTAGTGCTTCTCCTTCAGAGCTTGGGCGGTCTTGCTCTTTCCCCGGTGCAAGCGGTGCACCTTTCGCCGCGCAAAGAGCGAGAGAGCCTCTCCCACCGCACTTGCGGAACGACGGCACGGAATGAGCATGCACGACAGCATGGAATGAGTACGCACGCAATGCTGGACAAAGGATGTTGCCACGCCGTGACACGAATCTTCCCGCCGTCGGTAGAGACATCTTCACCCGACATCAAAATGCCTTACATTTCCTCGGCGTGCTTCGCCTGCTCCCCTGTGAGACCAGCCAGATAAACGACGGGCTTGGAGGGCGGGGTGCTGCACCCGTTGGCACCACAGGATGCAATGACTGTGCGGACTGGGATGCAGATCTCTTCGCAGTCGCACGAGTACTCCGGTGGCGGAGGCGCCTGGGGCCCTCTTCCATCTGCCCCTCCCGTATCAACGGTGGGACCAGGCGGGGCTGAGGACCCAGAAACTGATGACATCGGTGTTGAAGGAACCACAGAACCCTGAACATTTGTCGATTTACGAAGCAGCATGGCCACGTGAGATGGAAGGAGTGCAAGTGAAAGGTGGTACATGCTTTGGTATACCCAAGGCTGCGGGTTTACCTCAGAAAGGTACAACCATTCAGCTATACACTGTTCAGGGAAACCACCATCAGAAAGAGGGTGCTGCACCCCAGCGTGCACGGACGATGCCCACATGCACATCGGAGGCGTTGACGTGAGCACGACGGATGGCCAAGACGCGAAAGGGACTGTCGGCAAGGCAATCATTTACCTGTGACCACTCTTGTACCTGTGACCACCAAACAAGGCTACAGCGATTCGGAGTCAGAGCTGCATGAATACTGACTTGGTGGAGGCCGGACACGGGAGGTCGCTTTTCCGCGAGGATCAGGGGCCGTGCGCGCGCACGAAGTGCCTTCCAAGTCGATGCCTCTGAGCCAGATGTCGTCGCATGGCAGTGGTCCGCCCACTCGCCACACTCGGTTGCGGGCCTGGTGATCGTTTTTGTTTTCGGTTTCAGACCATACTAGACAGCAGCAGTGAATGCCCGAGTTTGGCGGACAGGGTTCTCGATGGATGTATGCATCAAGTTCACGAGGCGTTTCCTGCGGAAATGTGCTGATGGGTTTCCTTTCCTTTCGCATCGCCTCTGTCCAATGTCTATGGTCCAGACGTTCGGAGACATGGTTATATTTCATAAGAGTAACGTGTGGAAGCTCAAGGTGTGCTTCGACCAAACACAAGAATAATGTCGGCAATTCTATAGACACGAAAAATGAATGAACTCCTGATTCATTCGGCAGGGAATATGGGTGTAATCTGGACGACGTCAATGCACAACCGCCGTGCCGTTGCAGACATCTGACGTAGATGTCACATAAAGACGTAAGCATAGAAGGTCACGTTGAGAGGTAGTCACCACCAAGTGTGAAATAAGAAGTGAATGCGAACACGGAGACGAACGTGACATGTGCAAAACTGGATGATATGAATTGAAGAGTGAAGAGTGGACTGTCAACCCCTCCATATGTACGTAATTGATTCATGCAACGCTCGTGTTCACACATATATGGAGGGTAGGCGAGAATGAACCAGGTGATGGTCGAGTTGCATGGTCCATCTGAGGTAACACTTGCGAGCCGGTGTTTTGTCGAGAACGTAGGCGAAGCCCGCGCTACATTCGCAGCGTTAGCATGCTTGCACAGGGTAGCTTACATTTTCGCTATGCTTGTCTGGTTGAAACGATGAAGAGGGAGTTAATCAATGACAGAAGCGGTGGAAAGAGCAAGAGGATACCGAAGCTTGCGCATATCATTCCAAAAAAAGATTGAACAACACAACACGCCCGTGCGACGGCAAGCCTTCCCCGATTTTCACACAAATAACGGCCAGATAGAGTCTTTAGGGGTATGCTCGGATGCGCTCTACAGCTAGTTCACGCACAGCGAACCGGTCACACACGTAGCAGAAGCAGAGGTCGCACCGCTCCTCGTGACCGGCCTTGTTGAGGGGAAATGCGGAGAGGAAGGGCAAACAAATGAACCACGGTTTGGAGAGGTCGGGCCAGGCGTGGTGCGGACACCGCGTGCCGGTAAAGATGTATATCTCTTGACACGCTTGTGAAGGACAGTACAGGGCACGAAGAAAGGCATGCTCATGGAGCAAGAGGCTCTATTTCCCCCGCCACTTGACGCACAAGGCAAATCCTCAGCGTTCCAGCAACGTTCATTCCTCCGACGCACCTCGGGGCAGCTGAAACGAGTGTGTGGTAGCTTCGAAGCACCCGTGGTGCCCATTATCTCGACATCTGCTTCGGTGTCCTCGCACCCCTTTCCCGGTGCAGATCGTTTGCTGCGCTTGGCGGGGCGGGAGATTTCGTCCATCTTCTCCGAAGGTTTCGAGGTCACCTGCTCGGATGCATGGGTCGGTGTGACGGAGTATCGGACAAAGTCACGACGGTTGCCAGGCACATTTGTTGTTTTTGTGTTCCGGGATTGGACAGCAGTAGCGGCTAATTGTACAGTTCACGATACTCTCGACTTATTCGTACAACAAACGGGGTACAGGCTAACACAGAGTATACCTTCGTCCTGGCGTGCTGTATGATTGTACGCAATCCTGATAAGGAAGAGCCGCAGATATCAAACAAACGCCCAGACCCGCACGCAGACATCATAGAAGCCTAAATCTAAACCCTTGGACTTGTCAGCGCTGACCAGTCCAATGGTTTAAATTTAGGCTTCAATGAAAGCGCTGTTGTTCTAGTGACTTGTGCGTCGAGCAGAGGTCGCCCCAAAACCAGACATACGAACCTCGTTGTCGCTTACTGTGGAAATCACGCTAGAGCCAGAACGCGGTGACGGCTACTATACGTAGACTTGCCTCAATTTCGCCGCTCCGTTGCGCCGTGCCGGATTTCACCGCCCTCTTCTATTCTTCTTGGCCTTCTTCTTGTCGCTCTTGGTGTTGTTCTCGTTGTTCGACTTTTCGCCAGCGAAACGTTGAGGACACAAGTCCATATGGGATTCAATGGCTTTCGGATAATTTCGTGTTTTCGGGTGTGCCGTCTGTTGGATGTATACTGAGTACCCAATTTTCGGCTGGCGTCGTCAACAATATATGAACTACTGTACACGAGCGGGACCCAAGAACCCTGCGATGGAACCATCGTCAGAACAACTCACACGTCCGGACAACGATTCCGGTGCCGCAGGTTCGGCATATGCGAGAAAGCATCCGGCGGCGCCTCTATTTTGAACTAATCCCTCACATTCAAGTTTTCACTTAAACAGGCATGCTTCCTTATGAACGTGAAACTCCTTGCCCCGATCTGGCTAAGACTGGTTCACTTGGACTAGCCAAGGTTCGGCGCTTCAACCAAATCGAATGCATTTTTCAACGCAGGGCAGTGGGGGCGGCCCTGTAATAGTCTCACCTTGGGTGCTTCGGATATACCGCCTTCAAACCAACATGCCTCTCTCTCTGTGTCTCACTCTCCCATCTCGCTCTCTCTCTCTCTCTCTCTCTCTCTCGCTCTCTCTCTCTCTCTCTCTCTCTCTCTGCGGTCCATCTCATTTTTTTAAAAACGGAAGCAAGCCCTTGCTTGTGCGCACCTACCTGTATCTCATCGTCTTCCATGGTCAGGTCGATTGCATTCTCTCCGTCGTGCATCTCCATGGTGAAAACTGAAGGGTTTCGTTTTGAATCAGATCAGCCGCCACACACACTTCGCGGGAAGAAAGCGAGATGTGAACGAGTGTGTCTCGTGAATTTCACTTACCAGTATTTTTGTTTTTTTGGTCAAATCGAAGAATTTGACCCGCCAAAATGAGACGTGTTCATTGGTCTACTGTCTGTAGCGGGGTATATTCTACAATAATTGGTATAGAATCATTACGATGACACACACACTTTACTCTACACGTGTTCTACAGTAATACTAACCTCACCGTCAAAGAGGAAGAGGAAGAGCTTACGGAGAAGAGTCTTCATTCACCTGTTTTTTAGAGGACATCACTGCGTTCTGACGGTTCCTCAAGCGGTTTACAAATATTTCTTGACTTGGCTGACCTATCTTGCTCAACATTGCGCTACCAGACGCTGTTTGATTTTCAAATAACAAACCGTTGCATTTCATTGTCCCTCTAGCAGAGTGTTCACACATACGACGTACACAAATGGTATCTTCTTGGACAAGTGTTTCTACAGCCTTTGACGCTCAAAACCACCTCAACATACGTTTTCTCCAGCAGTCGGAAACATTGCCAATCCCCGGACATGGAGTTTCCCCGGATATGGAAACTGTACGCGCAGATAGATCCGCTTTACTGCTGCTGTAACTTGATGTACGTCTTTGCACAGCAGTGCTACACACTTCAGCACAGGGTAGACGGCCGAAGCCCATCAGTATTTTCTCCGGTTGTTCCAGATACGCGGTACATTGCAATTCAGAAACTGGTGCGTAGTTGGGATGTCTCATTCACTTCCTGTCCAAGCTGCCAGGACATGTTTCACTGCTGTACAGCTGGAGCAGAGAGAGAGGACGGCATGCTTGCTCGTCGTGGCTTACGGCGGATCCCTCCATCAGGTGGGACGAGAGGCTTTCTACCCGGTTCAGACAATACTTACTCCGATTGGCCAAAATCGTCACATGAATCGCTTTTGGTTCACAGCCCTTGCGGTGTTGGGAGATATACTCTTTGCCATGCGTCGCACAGCACGCATATAACCAGCGGGACACAGAACAGCACTTTTCCGTACACGCTTGCGAATTCCATACAGTGCACGCAACAAGCATGTTCTCAATGTGCGACACTCGTCTGTTCGCGCCGAATGAGCGTAGCGTGTGGTGGTCACTCAGGTTGACACTAGCTGTCTAACAGCAACGCCATTCTTTTTCGATCTCGAAGGGCATCATGTCGCATAGTCTCTCATTCATATAGAACATGCCCACATGTCCACAGAACATATCTCCGTTCACAAACTGCGGGGCAGCATGTACGCAATTGCACCATAAAAATCTACAGAAAAGGCTGTCCCTGAGTCGAGTTTGTAACGTGCTTAAAACCAACCGAAAGGCGACGGCGAAAGCAAACTGTCAAGGATCTCGCAACTTGTCCTGCATCGACTTCCGTGAAACGCCGCACTCGTAAAAATACCTTAGTCTGCTCCAGACGCCCTTCTCAGAAGCACCGTAACGTATCGATCTACTCTGCATCCACACTCAGTCGAATAACCGATGCCCAAATCACAGCGAAGACTGTCGATCTACGCCTACCCTAACGTCATCTCCGCCGTAGGGCCGCTCCGCTCAGCACGGGTAACGGGGTTCACTCCTACACCTTAGGCCGCCGCGGCGCGTGGCTTGATATTCACATCCGATAGCTTTACAAAACCTCACCGGTAGTGTTACGCTACGCCAAAGAGAACGCGTACAGCGCGTACGCGCCACGGCTCTGAACATTGGTGACGCGCGGGATCGGTGATGCCCACCGCACCTTGCACGGTCAGGTCTCCGACACCAACCCCCCGTGCCGCGTCCCATGTCTCGTTGCCCTCCCGCTACCGCCGGTGCTTGCAGCCTTACCGTTAGCCACCCCTCCTCCGTTTGCTTCTCCGCCACCTGTTCGCGCATCCCCGTCCTGAAAGTGGCTGCTACATCCCCCCTCCCCCTCGACTTCTTCCTCCTCTTCCTCTTCCTCTTCCTCTTCCTCTTCATTATCGTCCACCTCCATGCTGCTGTTGGTCTCATCCTCGTCTTCTCCTACTGGCGGCAAGGACGCGCCATCTGACCCCGAACCCAACCCCTCCTCGATCGTCAACGCCGATGTAACAGCAGCACCAGCACCCACAGAGTTAGCGTGAGGTGCCCCGTTTTCGACCACTGCGCTTGTTCCTTGGGTCGCGGACGCGTCAAGACTGGCCGAATATCCGCCCTCGTTCCTCGCAGCCGAGCCCTTCCCTAGCAAGGAGCTCCCTGTCTCACCCTCGCCCGGAGACGATGCCGCCGCTGTCTCCTCTACAGAACAACTCACCAAGGCAGAGCCGTCTCCTCCCGCCTCGGTAACAACGCCTCCGGCTGAACTCCCGGGTGCTTCCTCCGCATTCCCATCACTAGCCTCCTCGTACGCGCTCGCGTCACCGCGTCCCGCTACGGCTTCTCCGCCGCCAGGACCCCCTTGTCCAGCATCCGCGGACGACGATGCCAACAACAGTGCCGCGCTTCTTCCTTCTCCGTCGACCCCTGGAGGTGATGATGCTCCAGGAGGACCATCTCCGGGCTGAGCCACCCACTCCGACGCCTCTGTCGCGGTACTCCCGCCACCAAAGCTGTAGCCTGACGCTTCCTCCGTCGGCAACGTTGCCGTGGCCATCGCGGGCTCGACAGCGCTCCACATATCGTCTTTCTTTTGTCGGTGCTCCGCCTCCTCGCGCATCATCTCCTGCGGTGAGAGAAGCAAGACGACAGGACGCATGAGCATTTTCGGGTTGCACGATCAACCACCGACCCCAGGACAGCTCCACACGAAAGGATTTCCTGACCCACGGGGTCGGTCGAAAGCGACCACTCGCCAAAAGATATATCTGGGGGTGTCGCTCATGTACGTCGCTTCTGCGCTATGTCCCTCGTGCTTGAACGGAAGCCGTGACACCCGACCAAGGAACTCCTCCCTCAAGTGCTAGCGGTGGCTTGTCATACCATAATGTTGGCTTTTCAAACCACAATATATGTTGCGGTTTTGACTGTCCAGAGAGGTGACAGGAAACCGAGGACTCATTCACAACAGGAAACAGTCCCGTTCAGTGATGGGGCGCTTTAGCGCTCACCGCCCATCCCACATACGACGAGTTTCTCACCTGACACCGGAGGTGGGTCAGCCGATCCCTTTCCGCCACCATCCTCTTTCGCTGCTCCGCGGTGTTCGACTTCGTCGTCTGCCTCGTCATCAAACAGAGCAGCACGGTCGCAACGGAGATATTTGTATAAACCGTGAAGAGGATTGTGGGCGAGAAGGATCGAGGCGTCGTTGGGGTGAGCGCCACGTCTAATCGGCGACGGCAACTCCCGCAACGACAGCGAGTCTTGAAATATCGAGGATTCAATCGACCAAAAAAGCCGGGGGCTGCCAGGGTCAGGACAATCACGACGGCCAAGATCGGGAGAAGACCATCGCGGCCAAGGCAACGCCAACGAAAAAAAGAACGCTCTTCACTACCCCGTGTCTGAAGCGTGCCGAGGCACAAGCGATGAATCTCGCTCGCAGACACGACCAAAAATCATGGGACGACAGCACTCAATCTGCAAATACATCTGGGTCCGCAAAGAGGGGAAAATAAACAGCACGCACCACGCCGTCGTGTTGTACGTTTCTCACCCCGCACTGGAAAAAAAAAAAAAAAAATGCGCACCCCGCCACACCACGACGGCAGTAACCTTCCCCAGCGACCCCGATTACCGGCGGAGCGGCCGACAGCGTAGCACAGGTCTTACCTCACGCGTCGCCTTTATCTTTTCCAACGCGGCTTGCGCTACCCGGATTTCCTTCTCCCTGGAGGCCTTAGCCTGCAATTGGGGTGAGGATAGCATTTGAGGGGTTGGTTCTGTGCGGCCAAAACAAAAAAGTCCAAGCATTGCCCGATGGTTGCTCGGGTGGTGCTGACTCTCGACTTGGCCAACCAAACAAGCGAATAAATAGCGGCCGAGAGTTAGCTCCATGCGGTCGAGTACGACTGAGTCCAACGTTCAAGAGGCGATCCACACACATTTCACCAGCACAAGACATATTTGTTGTGATACATACCCAAGACGCGTCTGGCTGCGTTACCCGTGGGACCCCTCTCTTACACAAATGTACGCCGTTGCCCAACAACTCCCACAGCCCAAACCCCTCTCTCTCTCTCCACGCTCCACTTCCACATCCTAAATTTACCCCAACCCCTACCCTTCTCCCCCTTTTCCGTTCTCGCTCTCCCGTCGCTGCTCACCTCATCGAGATGCCGCATGTCCGCACGGAACTGCTGCAGCAGCAAGTCCTCCTGCGCAGCCAACGCGTCCAGCTGCGAGGCGATGCTCTGCTGCGGCGCGCCGCCGCTGCCGCTGCCGCTGCCACCGCTAGCGCTCGCAGCTACGGCGCCGTTCGACACGCAGGCGTGATCGTTGACGTCGACGTCTTCGTCAGTATCGACGGCGTCGGCCGCAGCACAAAATTCGTCCTCGGGGGGTGCGGCAGCAGCCTGGCGGGGAAACGAACAAAACAAAACCAACAATTGGGTGCTTCAGAAACAGACAAATGTCCGCGGGTACATGAACAAAAGAGGAAACAATTCGTGCTTCAGATACAGACACATACGTCTGACTTCTCCTAGAGGCTTGCGGGGAAACAACCAAAAGCCAAACAATGCGTGTACCTGGTACACAGGCACATGCTTCTACATGCACACTGATTGCCCAACAGGCTTCAACATGCATGCACCGACCCGTTCTCGAGGAGGGGGACGAGGTGGTAAGATCCCAGAGTGGGTGCCTGGTATGTGTTTCCGGCCTCCCAGGTGTTTGCCAATACATCACACGCAGCAACACATATCACACCGAAACAAGCAACAAGCGTCGAGCCAAGACTGGGTTCTGAGCACCTTACCGCAACGAAAACAACCAACATGCGCAGAGCCAAAGCCGGGTTTTTTAGCAATGGCGGGCCGCTAAGGCATTTCCACCCATAGCTCATCAATGTCCGGACGATCGGGAACAAAAATAGTTTTTGGTGGAAGGAAGGCGAAATTTCTCGACTCCCGCTCTCTTTTGAGCTATATTTGTATCTCTCTGGCTTCAGCAAGCTGCCCTGATAATGTGATCCGCATCAACAGAAACAATGCGCTCTCTCTGACCGGGCTTGGTACTGCCTCCTCAAATGCCTCGGGCGCCGAAACCTTCCTGCCCTTCGAGCTCCATCTAGTTGACCTCCCCAACTCTTCCGGTGCTGTAGTAGCCCCTTCGCTCTAAAAAAAAAGAAAAAGAAATATCGATGATCACGGACGACGGGACGCGAAACTGTCGGCTTAATACCACACAGCTGGAAAACATGTGGGGCCGGCCGCTGTCGAGTGTTGATAAAAAAACACCAGCAAAAATAACAGCATGACAAAGGCGTGATGCGAGGTAATTCTTGGTCAACGAGGATGTCTACACACACATGTGCACCCATTATTAATATCGTCGATATCTAGACCCTTGCGCACGGCACAGAAGCACTGCCAACTCTTATTGTGGTGGCTTTCTCTCGGCGTGAAACCAGCGGGTTACCCGAAACTCGAACCATAGTACAAGAAAAGGAACCAAACAAAGGCTCCGCGAATTGTTGATGCCAGTACTACGGCACCGAGCGTACGAGAGTGCCCTGCTATATACTTCGGTAAGCAATTCCACGTGACTGAAAGGTATGCACCCTGAGACGAAAAACACGCGTATAGGCGAAACGCGAACCATCCCGCCCTGTGTGCTGCAAGCTCGCTCCACACAAGCTACAGTGAACAAGCTTTTGACTAGTACCTTTCGAGCAGCCTTCAGCGCCGGTCCCGGGATCGTTATCGACGGTTTCGGGTAACCGTCTGTCACCTTCCTCGTTTTGCTCGACGGCTGCTGCTGCTTGTGCTGGTGTTGCTGTTGCTCCCCAGCCGGTGGTGACAAGAGCTCTAGGGCTTTTTCTAGCGTGGATGCAGACTTGCGTTTGTTCTGACGAGGATGATCGAAACACGTAACGGCGCGGGCGCGGGGCGGAGGGGTGAGAAGGGGTACTTATCGCGCCTTGACTGCAACCGTTTGACCAGGACAACGCTGCCCGTTGTCGCCAAATACTACTTGACCCTTTTGAGTCTACAGGCGTACTGACAGATCATTGATTGATAATCGCAAATGCTGGTGTGGTGGCATGCCATGGAGTTGCCGCCAAGTAACCCTCCACGCCAGGTGTTGGTAAGCCCATAGGTAGGTGCGCCTTTCTTGTTGGCATCGACCGCGCCAACCTGTGACCAGTGAAAAGACGTTAGTGCCAGCAGGTAAAATCAAGGTCCTTCAAACGGCCAATATTCGAAAAATCCACAATGGGCTAAATGCCAATGCCATAATGAATCTCTTTCCATATCCTTAAACAGAGATACATACCAACAGCTCCACATATGCATACATGCCCTCGCCCGAATCTAGGAAGCCACTGGAGCAACGAGCGGAGGGCAGCAAAAAGGGGCATTTCAAGCCCAACCAGACCCCGGTATGTTGTGTAGACTATTTTTTCTCCAAATTTGAGAATCGCACGCTCCCAAGATCCAGCAGTCGTCGTGTCAGCTGCTATACTACTGCTGACACAGCAGCAGCAGAATTGGCGAGTCCAACATAGCGATACATACACTATCATCATAGCCCCATCACCACCCTCGCCCGAACCTAGGGAACCAATGATGCAAAGGTAGGTGTGTGCTGGTGCCTGCGTGCTTGTGGAATTGTAGTGAGCCGGCAGAGCTCACATTGGGAAAGGGACCGAGAAGTACAGAAGAAAAAAACCAGCTATGGGCCTGCAAGCCCTCACTGATCGTTTTCATAATCATTTGAGTATATGAAAATATAGTAGTATAGACTGGTTGGCGTTAACCTGCCCTACCGGCCGCACCGCGACCACGCATCAACCCTTCTATGACCATGTCTTTGCCCATCATCCTGTCGCGGGCTGCCCTCATGGCCTACATAGGTGGAGATAGCTGTTGCGTCTACAGAAAAACACTGTCTCATTTTGCTGCACTTGTGCCTCTCTCTCCCACACTCTCTCTCCTTTCTTTTATTTTTTCGGCAAAACAAACAGAGCTAGACCCAATGGGGTTAATAGAGGCACCAAATAATCGGGTACCCCTCTTCAGAGGAGGGGCGTGGAATGATTCGGCAACGCACACCTTATGGGAATGAATTGCATCTCGTTAACTCTATGTCGTCGTCGTTGAGGGGTGGGGGCAGCTGAACCGCGTGAGGAGATAAAACACTCGGCGCGTTATGACCCCGTGAACAGGGACGGCTACTGTAAAAACCACCCCCTCCTTATACTGCTGGATGCACAGGTCAGGGTACACGATGAGCGCATCAGGGTGCAGAATGAGCACCTGTAGCCACTCCTTAAAACGCGATGAACCGTATCTACCTGTCGCGCACTTTGACCGTGGTCGGGCAGTGTCCTTTGCTGTTCAATGGTACGTGTGTCGGTCGAGACTGCCACGGGGAAACGGACTCAATAGGGGTCAACCAGTGCCAGAGCCGACCGGGTCAAGAGGTCGCACAACTTGCTCTCCGTACCTGTGAGGCACGTCCTCTTCCTCCCTCCGGCGTCCAGTCCGTTAGCTCGTGCCCACCGAGAATGCACGTCTAGGAAAAGCCAGGCAAGAAGCCGGCACAACATGGAGCAATAGGTCAGCCAGACGAGGAACGGTTGAGAGCAGGCGGGGGGGGGGGGCGTCGAGACGAAACGAAAGCAGTCAAGCCGGGAAACAGCAACACAAAATGGGGTCAGTGCACGATAGGCTGAACAAAAGATGTCGCCCCAAGAGGTGCACGCAGCTAGCCGGCGGGAATTGGTCGGGTTCGCTTTGGACGCAAAGAGCCTACCCGCGCGTACCGCCCCCATCTCCGTCCCATGTAGCGAGAGGGAAAACACCACAAGTACGTGTCATAACTCCATCCCAACCATCCCAACCACGGCCCCAACTTTAAGACGTCTCGGCTCTGAGCCAGAGGGATGTGACACGCACCTTGAGGTGTATGCAGCTGGCGCAAGGCCTCTGGAAGATCATGTCGGGGGAGTACTCCACGCTCTCCTCGCCGGTGTTTCGATCCACCAGCTTGAAGATCGTCATCGTCTGCACCGCCGCGGTGCATGAAACAGAGCGCAGAGAGAACACGGGGTCAAGTACGGACCGAAAGAAAAAGGTTCCAGCGGGCGAGTCCCCCGCACGCTTCCATGCCGGCGACGAATCTAGCCGTTCTTTGGGTACACACCCGCCCCTCCCGGTTATAACAGCCAAAAGCAACAACTCGAGGGTACGTTCGTGAAGAGGGCATTAGGCGGGGAGCCAGACCCACGTGGTGGAAGCTGGGTGGTCGTTCTTAACAGCAACCTTTAGAAATAGGATTTTTTCATTTGTGTCTCTGTAAGAAAAAAATAAATAAAAAAAATAAGCCCACCTGGTCGGGTTTGACGCACTGGCGGTGCCTCGCGGCCAGTTCATCTCTCTTCACCGCCGTCAGCCTTGCGTTGTGCTTCCGCATGATGCACGCCTGAACGCCATTCTGTTCTCGCCGCGCGGAAAGACAGCGAGGTGGCCCGTTAGTTATTCTAAGCTCGCCAGGAAAGGTAACACAGTCGACAGGCCACGAACACTTCGTCGGAGCAGTCGGCAGCATATACTGGAAAAGTCCATTTCCCCCGTTCCGGTGGGTGCGATATAACGATATTCAAACTCCCCCCTCCCCCGCCAGTTAGCAACAACATGCCGACGCTGCACCTCCCTGCAGAGCGGGCGAGGCTTACAGCGAACTTCACCGGCAACGTCAAGCCGCACGATCATCCTTGACCGTCCCACCCCAAGCTCCGAATCGTTCGGTAAACAACAGCAGCAGCAGGTTTGGGTCTCGCGACCCCCGGCTGGCGAAATGCAGCGGGGGACGGTAACAGCACGACGGGGCGGAAGCACGCCGCCCTCGCCGGACGGCTGCACCGCTGGCGGACCCGCCTTTCTAAGAGCCTAGGAGGTCTGGTGTCGGCGACGAAAGTACAAGGGTGTGCCACCACAGCAGCTTGGCAAATTTTCCCTACAAGAAGACGTGCCTCTCTCCGCCGCTCTCTCCCGGCGCCTTTACAAAAAGACCGGCAAGATTTTCGTCCCCGTGTTCCCTACTGTAGTTCCGGAGCCCTGGCGCAAACTCACCTTGTTGATTCTGCAGTTATTGCAAGGAGAAACCACCAGGCATGTTCCATCGACATCCATGTTTCAACGTGACGGTGCGCGACAGCAGCCTCGTCGCGCGTGCGGCCGGCTTCACGCTACAGCGGCCAGGCGGGGGCGGGGGGGCTCCGGAAATGTACCGGTCAACACATGGTACCCATCGAAAGGGTGGAAAAACATTTTGCGGAGCGGTAAGCCGGGCGGCAGGCCTAGGCTGCAAGCGTAGCAGCAGCGAGCGCTGCAGCAGGGGGTAGCAGAGTACTGGATGGTGCTCTGGCCGCCGACTCATGCGAAGGGTAGCAGGAGCTGTTCTTGCTACGACGATATGTTCGAGGGCAGCCGTAATCCCAGCGTTTGTAGCAGTGCCACCACCGGCAACAACAACATCGTCGTCGTGGCACACCGCAGAGAGATCATGCTCACTCGTGCCAGTGCAGTCCGTACGACAAGAGCAAGACGCGGGAGTGAAGGAGGAAGAGGAGGAAGAAGGAACGTATGGAGGGGATGACCAGCGGAGATTTTGGGATACCGTGGTCAAGGTATGAACACGGCCTGGTTGGACTTTCGGCCGTATCTATATGCACACGACGGCGGCAGGATCTCCGATGTCTCCGCAGGTTGCAGTTTGACGGCCGATTTGCCTGCGACATTTTGCCGTGTGTGCGGTAGAATGTGTTCAGGTTCGACCACACGGCAGGCAATATCGGCACCCGTTGGACGAAGGGCCCTTCTCTCAATAGTTCAGCATATCTGGTTGAATATGCCACCAACGAGATCGGACGACTCGCTGCAATATTCCTTGTGACGGTTAGTCTACTACAGCAGTAAGTGGACTCCACAGTAAATCTGCATTGCATGTAAAGCAGTGCTGTAAAGACAGTACTCGACTGCTGGTACAGGGTGCGTCCGTGACTCTGTGTTGGTACACTTCAGACGCATACAATGTGTAGGCACACCTCACCACCGCCGCCCCTCCTCGTGTGGCGCCATACCCCACCCGCCAGGTTCTCAGGAGCGAGCTAGGCGCAGGAGAGAACCAGCCGGAAGACCTTTCGCGTGTCTGGGGCTTCGTCGCGCACAACCGAGAGGGAAAGGCCCCTCCCGCGGAGCCGTCGCCCTCGTACAGAGCTACCGGCTTGTACTTCCCGGGGCTGGAGGCCAAGCCCTGGTGGGATGATAGGTAAGAATGGTATCATTTCGTGCAGAACCGTTGTAGGAGGCATTGTATCGATGTGACCAACATCGTGACCGAACGACTTCTAGTGTGGTCGCCTTCGCAGCGTTTTCTCGATTAAGTAAACATGTTGGATATAACATGCAATCGGGTAAGTTGGGTTATTGGGTTAGGGATAGGGTCTGCGTACCCCGTCCCTGTTTCTCTTTCCTGATAAAAACATTAATATCGCGAAGGCGGTCCTTATGATATGTGTGTGCGGCGAAAAATACCGTTCGAGCGATTTTGGACCCATGAACTCATATTTTGTAGCATCACAACGGCACGTTGTTTTGCGTCATCGCTTTCTGTCAGGTCAGAATGTTCTTGGCTGCAAGACTTGGAGGACGCCGCCCCTGACATCAAGCGGGAGATGGAGGCTCTTCAGAGATCGGGGGGCGCGCGGAGCTATAAGGGCGGCACGGGGGAGATGAGCACGGTGTACGATGCTACACGTGGATGGGGTACGATGAGAATACGCTACATGGGCAGGTGCGCGGAGGGCTGTTCGCTGATCGAGAAAAGGAATTATATTGTCAGTGTTTTTGGTGTCCTGGGGCAGCACTACAATCTTCGGTCGCCGCAGCATGCACTCGTCACCGCTCTTTGAAGTGGACTTGAATACAGTCGGCGGTCCTCAATAACGGTACCCTCAATAGCGGAATGCCCTGTCTAGCCGCACCGAAATCGCTTGGCACAAATGCATTTCTCAGTACAATTCCTATAAAGAATAGCGGCACTGCCCTCTGTAGCGGCACCAACAACACCTGTTGTCACTACCTACCGCTATTGAGGGCCGCCGACTGTAACCAGATTCGGATAACCTCGAGGCACTCCTGTGCCACGCCTTTACCGCTGTTCTGCGGGTAGCTTCAGCCGTTGGTGGTGGCTCCACCAGACCGTGGGCATGCTTACTTACATGCTCCGGTTGGTCGATCTCCAGAGGACTGTGTGTAACGTAAGGTTTGGTTGTTCACGCATGCTCCCTCTAGGCCTTGTCTGACTTCACGCGCGAACGCCAAAAAATCAGGTTCGGTCAGCCCGGCGTCAACTACTCCCTCCTGCCGCGCACCCTGGCCGCCCTGCGCCGGCTCCCGCTGGCCCCGGAGACCGCCGCCTTCCAGCGACAGCTCGCCGGCACGGGCCTGCCTCTGCATGTCGACCCGAGCAACTTCGTGCTCGGCTGCCATGTCGGGGTGGTCGTGCCCCCCGCCGCCGCCGCCGCGGGGGCGGCGGGCGTACAAGGGTCCGCCGACGGCTCGGCGGATGCGGCAGCAGCTGCCGGCGACCGGCGAGGCGGCGCGAACCGGAAGAAGAGGGTTGGCGGGGGGGTTGGGTTTGGGGGAGGTGGTGGCGTGAGGAGAGAGAAGAAGGCGGCCGGAGGGGAATCCGGGGGCGCGGGGTCTACCGCCGAGGGCGGTGCAGCCGAACGAAGAAGCGGGACTGGTCGTGACGGCGGGACGGAGAGAAGAGAGCGAAGCGGAGAGCGAGCGTGGATAGAGGTTTCCGGCGAGAAACGGCACTGGGAACCGGGCCGAGCGTTCGTCTTCGACCCCTCCTTTTTACACCGCACGTACAACCCTACGGACGGGGAGCGGGTTATTTTGAACATTGATGTGTGGCATCCAGGGCTGAAGGAAGTCGAGAAGACTGCTATCCGGAGGGTTTGCGAGCTGGTTGAGCAATGGAACTCACGGTCAGGCCTGTTCGAGGACTAACCAAGAGGGCACTCCGCTACCGTAGTACCCCTTGAGAACGGTGACGCTATGAAAACCCCACCATTGCCTCTTTGTCGTGGTTGATTACCGCATTCTCTAGTGTTGAGAGTCGTTTCAGACACCTTGACTACACAAGTTTCGATCAGAATTTGGGGGTTAACGGGCCGCCGAATATCATCCATAGGCTTGATTCCGTTGATGACTCAATTAAACGCCTTTTGGGACGATTCGAGTGCAACCTGCCAACATCTGGGAAGAAAGTGGAGAGGAAATGATTGCAGTCCGGAAGGGTTCAGAGCTGAGATACGGTAACGACATGCAAGATGGAGCCTCCAGCTGCGCAAATATATGTGGAGTCAGACTACAGGGCCGCCCTTGACCTTGCCTTGGTTTGGTATGGTTTGATCATGTCAAGGCTGATAATAGCTATGCGGCATTGCAGTAGGCAAGGTGGTATGGAGCTTGGTATGCATGTCGGACACTTATAGGCGAAACCTGGTGAGGGTGCTGCGTGGCAACGCCATGCGTTCGATCCGTTGTCGCCTCAGCATTCTACATAGGTCTACAGAGTTTCAAGACAACAACAACAACAACAACAACAACAACAACAACAACAACAACAACAACAGAGTTTCAATCGCCCGACCATCGAAATACTGTGCCCTGCGCAAGTGCAGTTGTACAGGATGCACTCCTGTGCTGTGTAGTACGACAGGAACTGACTCCGTCCATCATCCATGCAGATGATAACACCGCGTATTGTATTGATATTTTCAAATGCGAGGTACACAAATGCATACATTCAGCATAGAGCATCGGCAGATATGGGAATAAAATGTCGATGTTCCGCCCCTGTACAGCAGTACAAGCCTCGGGTTCTTTTCCTCGGCGGGTATCAACAGCTATACAGTAGCTAGATAGAGTAGCGAGAACGGTTAAAAATGTACTGCTGTATGTATGTACTGCAGGGTTCGGCATTTGGGTCGGGTTCAAATCAATCTGGGGGCGCGTAGCTGTTTCGTACTGTCGGTTTTCAACCGTCGTCATGTTGTACCATACTTTCCCCCGTAATCTCGTACCCACACGCGGACAGACTCTCCTCTTTCCGTTTTGGCCCCGCGGATCGAAGCTCAGTGCCTGCATACAGCAGTGGTGGTAGTCTACCGTCTGGTACGCAACCACCGCCGCCGATGATTGCACATACCTACATGCATGTTGCTTTCGGATGTTCGAGAAAAATACGCCGGGAGCAAAGACAGCACTACTGTATCGAGGAGCAGTGGATATACGTCAGACCACGGCGAAATAATGCTGGACAGCTACCCCACACAGATAGAGATGCATTGAACGAAGCAACGGCGTGTGGCAATGATGCATCGGGTACATTCGCCGACGCGAGAAAAACGCGCAGCAGGCGACGAGGGTCGAGGGGGGGACATTAAAAAAAAAAAAGCGCTAATTTTTTAAACAGCTGAGAGCTAACAGCCGCAGTACCTTTCGACGAACACAACCTTCCTTCTTGTCTGACCCCGTGGTGGTTTTGGGTGCCACCGCCGTGAGGAGAACGATGGACCAGGATGGCTTGTTCCTCATGCTCAAGATGTGCAACGGCTGCAGCCACAACAAGGTGTGTGAGAGAGGCTCACACGGTTAACCCTTGTAAGCCCACCATGTTTGTCTTGTCGTGTCTTTCGACATCCTGTCTCACCGTGTCTCCCCTGCTGGCACGCACCCACGGCGCTTGTTTTCGTTGCTGTGGTGGCATAGGCCGTACCCACCAGCAGGGTAAGCTCAGCCTGTAGTTCTGTGCAGAGGTCGACTTCGAATGGTGTCGATGGTCAACGCGGTTACGATGGGGTCGCGTTTACCTGTCGAACACACGTTTCGAGGAATGAGCCTGCGGTGCCGAGCGCGAGAATCGGGCAAACCAGACGGGCAGGCAGCTCGGGGAGACTGATCGATCCCTTTCTCATGTCTCGGCACTCCTCTCTACCGACACACACTAGTAGCCTAATGTCCTCGCACTACTGAGGCAGAGGACAACGACAATTAGGATGCTCTCTCGGTGCGAATGGCGTGAACGACGACACTGCTGCTGCTGCTCGTTCTATAGTAGTTTATGCATATCACACTTTTCAAAGCGGACAAGCTGCCCGATTGTGCCGTGCTGCCTCGTCGATTGTACCCCGCCTCTGCCTCGCTTCGCTCGACAACACACAGCAGTAGTAGGGACCACACAAACGTAGAAGAGGAGGGAGAGCTGAGCTTCATTTGTTGCTCGCTCCTTCCTGTACCGAGATGTCGATGGGGAGGGTTGTCATGTTGAGACTCGAACTGCTGCCGCCGAGTCCCTCGATCGACCAATAAAACACCCTCTGTTGCCTCTAAATAAACATAACGCCGGCCATGGCAGCCGTCGAGGTTCAACGCCAACACTGTATCATCTCACCCCTTCCCAACCAATCCTGTACGCGAGCCTGCCCTAGAGGTCTGGCCGGTGGATATGGTCGGCCTAATGCTGTTGTTGTGTGTGGACGCGATGCGCTGAGCCGGGCAGCGGCAGCGGTCAAATTCATCGTCAACCCTCCCATCCCCCACGCACGCGCTCGTCGGACAATCGTCCAAAAACAAACTCGAGCGCGTTCATCAAGAGTACATACGGTATGTACTTGGAGTACAGTATTGTGTGGCCGGATTCGCGCGCTTGCTCATGAAGCCCGGCGTTAGGAGTGCAAACCTTTATCGCATGGTGTTGGCCTATCATCACGTCACAAGATGGCGTACTTTTGAATTGACGCTATAAGCGAGCTGCTTCCAAAAACATCAGGTTGTAGACTAGGCCTGTAGACTACAATGAGTAGCACACCCACCCGGCTCCGGTAAGGCTATGTATTCAAACACAGCAGTCAAGCAGCACCCTGCTTCCTATTCATGGAAGAAAGAGACCACCAGCTAGGAAGAAAGTTTTTTTTTTTTTTCGAAGTACAATTTACGGCGGGGTTAAGGACACCGCCCCGGCGTTGTGTCGCGTGGACCCACCTACATAGTCTTGCCAGGGGAGGGGTCCACAAACACCCTTTTTTCCATGTGGCATGTACCATGCAGCAGTATATACCAGTGCTTTTGCTTTTGTTCAAGTCGCCAGGGTCTTGTTATTCCCATCTAAGCCTCGCTCTTTTCAAAGGCAGGAGGGGAGGGGAGGGGTGACTCAGGGAAAGGAACCCTTGTGTGTGACCACGGGCCGGAGCTCCTACCTACCCGGCAGACTCGCTGTGAGCGCTGATTTGAAGTGATGAGAGCGAAGCACAAGAACGATCGTCAATCGTCCAGGATTGGAGATCTAAACATTCCGCGACGGTACATACCTGCCTATCAAGAGGGTGGCCCTTGGCTTAGACGGGAGGCCCTTCGAAACCGTACTCTTTCATCACGAGACCCGTTGTTTGAAAAGAGGTTTGAAACAACCAAGACCGCACGAGCGACAGCGAGGTTACCTCTCATTTTGCGTGTAACGCATGTTACGGGTTATAGGATTGAACCTGTACGAGCCATCAACGCGAAACGCACGGCGTCGCTCCACTTTCTGGGCAATGAGGGACGACTGCTGTCGGCTCCCTTCGACGGCAGTCTTTGCTTGGCGTTTGCACAACACATGACGGGAAGGGCGGTTGTTTATTAACCGACCGGATCGATGGGCTCTCAGGGTTAACTGTAAGAGTGTTGTCACCACCCGAAATGAAGGCGATTGTGCGTGTGCTGGTTGCCTGAACTCGTTTCGATGGGCTTATTACCCATCTGCTCTCCTTGCTGTTTAGAAAAAGACACATGGAATCGCAGAAAAGACTTGTACCCGTTCGTGATGTAACCACAGCATTTTCTTCGATTTCCACAGATGATTGTTATTTTTTCGACCGCTCCTGTTCGTTTTTCTTTCTTTCTTCTTTTTGCTCTCGACTGCGTATTCATCTTTATTTATTTCTGTTTTCGACCACGGCGGCGGCGGCGCCCTCGCAGGGGAGCTGGAAGAAGTGCATGTCAAGGAGGCACAACCCCAGGATGTCCACGGTCCGTGAGGACGAGCTGACGTACAGCCACCGACAGTGCGTCAAGCCGGACCAGGTTAGCAACTCGTCGTTTCATTTCCACGTTCCATGTTCCATGTTCTCCTTAGCAGCTTGGTTTTGAAGCAGTTTGTTTTAGCTTTGGGCTGGCTGTTTTGTCTTCATATTGTAGCCGTGTTCTCTTTCAGCTTTGTCTTGAAGCAGGTCTGCGTTTAGAGAGTGAGCTCGTCGGGGCTGGTTTTCTGTCTTAATGTGCCGGGTTCTATTAACAGCCCTGTCTTGAAGCAGTTGCGCGCTTACAGAGAGCTACTAGTCTGGGCTGGATAATTTTTTGGTCTTGCCGTCCGCTTTTAGAGAGCTAGCTCGTTGGGGCTGCGGCTCTTTGTTGTGTTGTCGTGGCTCGGCTTTTTCCGGCTCGGTTATCTTTCACATTTTTTTTTGTTTTCTTGCTGTTAGTTCCGTGTGGAGAGCTCGACGGGGGTGGTCATTTTGTCTCTTCGTGTGGGTCGGGTTGTTTCACCCGCTCGTCGTCGCCGGGTGCTCCGGCTGGGGCGTCGCGGCTCAAGCACCCTAGACCTGTCGGCCACGAGAACCTGGGCTATTGTACTGCTGTTCGTGGAGCACGCCTACCCACCGCCCCCCCCGACACCCTTGCATACACTCCCCCCATCAGCACTTTGCTGCACTGCTGCTGTAGAGCAACATGGTACCATGGAGGGGACTGGTTGGCGCCGGTTTATTGTGTTGTGCCGGTATTTTCGGCGGGCACACACCGAACTACGAGGTCATGCCGTGCTTTGAATAGTGGCGGTGTCCGGCATCGTGCCGGTGTCCGGTATCGTGCCGATGTCCGGTATAGTGCCGGTGTCCGGTACGGTATAGTGCCGGTGTCCCGCATAGTGCCGGTGTCCGGTACGGTATAGTGCCGGTGTCCCGCATAGTGCCGGTGTCCGGTATAGTGCCGGTGTCCCGCATTGTGCCGGTGTCCCGCATAGTGCCGGTGTCCCGCATAGTGCCGGTGTCCGGTATTGTGCCGGTCCATTATCTGGGCACATGTACCGGCTCCGAACAGCGCCCCACACTGTAGTCGTTTTTCGAAGCTTGCCCCGGTCCCCGGACCGCAGTTCGGTCGATTTTTTTTATTGCGCTCCTGTCAAAATTGGTGCTGCTTGCTCGTTCTTTTTGGATCCGTGATTCTCGAAATGACTCCCTTGAAAATGTACAGCCCAGGTGTATGGCTTCTACGATGCCGATGTTTTGTACGTGCAAGCTTGCTGAGGCAGTTGTACTTTTGCCGTCCCCTGGCTTTGACGCTTAGGCTTTTCTCACGACTATCGCGTCTTCTCAACCTGCCCTCTTTCCCGCTATGCCGTCCCCTATCCCCTACCCCACGCCAGGCCATCACCATCTACAAACTCCACGACCACGAGACGAACGAGGACTACCTGGAGTTCGACGAGAAGATTATCTTTCAGACGGCGTGCCGCATGTGTCTCAATATCAAGTCCTGCCTCAGGTGCGAAGAAAGACATGCGCTCTGGACGCCGTGCGGGTGTAGCCGGGGTGTCTGTGCGGTTTTAGGGTTGGGAATAGTCAAGGTAAGGTTGGGACCGCTTACAAGCGTCAAGGCAACAACAACAAAAACAAAAACAACACCAACAGCAGCAGCAGCAGCAGCATCCGCTGTAACATATGTCAACAAGAACTGCTGTCGGTGGGTAGATCGCTCTAGGTTGTACCGGCCCGGTCTTGCGCAATATATCGTAGGACGATATCGGTTCGCCAGATCGTTATGGTACCCAGTCCACATTCCAAGAAGTTTTTCTCGGACAAGGGCGACCCCTCGGATCAACCATCGTAGTCGAATATTTTTTCGAATTATTTAGCTAGGCAAATGTACACGTTTTCTCTGATCCTGCGTTGAGCCTGATGATCCTCCTTTTTCGATGTCTTTGACTCTTGTGGAAATCTTACGTTGAGCCTAGTAGCCTCCAATTTGACTGCCTTTGCCTCTCCCTTCTTTCTTTTTTTTGTCCCTCCCCCTTTTTGTTCTTCACTCGCCGTTGTCGTGGTCGTTTTTTGTCATTGCGTTGCTCTCAGGGAGGGACACAAGCTCATCGACTGGAGGCCAACCTTCGCCGGAGGCAGGGTGGCCGGCTCCTCGCACCCCCCCCCCAGCCCCCCCGCCTCTACCCCCGCGCCTACGCCCCCGCCGCCGCCGCCCGCGGCCCGTGGCGGTGGATCGAGGAGGGGTGGCGGGGGCCCCGGCAGGGCGCCGAGGAGTGCTAGAGGGAGGTCAGCAAGCACCTCGGTAGTGGACGACGAGATGGAGGTTGTCGAAGATTATGGTGATGGTGGTGGTACTGGCCGGAAGGTGTTCCCTGCGGGCGGAAGGGGGCGGAGGGGACATGCTGCTGCTGCTGCTGCTGCTGGCGGTGCTCCGCAGGTGTGTTGTTGTGCCTGTCAGGTGTTTTTGGTGTTTTTTGTTTGGAGACTTCTTGACTTGAACCTGTGTGTGTGTTTTTTTTTTTTTATCTCCTACTCTTTTCTGCTCGAACCCCCACGAGTCGTGTTGAACTCTCTCTCTCTCGTTCGATCTAGTCCCGGTGAAACCATGACAACATTCAATGCCTGTTTTGTGCCCCCTCGGCTTCCCTCCCCCCGCCGCTTTATTTTCGCTCCCATTTTTTCTTGGAAAAGGAGTCGACGGCGACGCGTAGGGGTCCTCACAAGCGCAAGTCGCCGGCCTCTTCCGCCTACCCGCGGTCCGCGAGCTCGCATCAGGTGACCATGCCCTGCACACAACCATCGTTTGTTTGTTTTTCTAGTCTTTCCCCTCCCCTTTTTGGAAAATTATCATGCTGGCCTTTGTCCTCACGATGCTCTAAACGACGACCGGTGTGTGTTTACTCTAGCTAATGCAGCTGAAGGTGTGCTATTGTTAGGTTCCGGCCACGGCGTCAAGCTTGACACCCATTTAAGACATTTGTGCAATTGTTAGGTTCAGGTCACGCGTCAAGCCTGACACCCACTTTAAGACCTTTGTGCAATTGTTAGGTTCAGGTCACGGCGTTAAGCTTGACACCCACTTAAGACACCCACCTTGCTCCCGCAATCACGTGAAAGAAGAGAGGCCCGTCTACACGGGGAAGTCCGCTGCAGTTTCCGAACAGCGACCTGTCAATTTTCCCGAGATGAAACCATTTCTCACGGAACCCCTACCCCCCCCCATAGGCTGGGGAAAGTATTTTGAGCCACGTTTGGCAAGGCAGGACGGAACGACTGACCATCGGTGATCGGTCCTGTGGGAACAATGTTCCGTCCTCGCGAGAGGACACGTGGTCTACCAGCTACGGGATGCAAAAA